AACAAAAATATATCAAAGATGAAGGAAAAGTAGTACCCTTAGCTAAAGCCACATGCGTAGATGTGAGCGTGGGATGTGCGCCACAATTTTCATGCAAGAGGGTGGGGCTAAAAGGACCCACACGTAAAAACATGGGTTTCGGGTTAGGCCAAAAAGTTGATGGGATTGGTCAAATATAAGGTCTTTGGTTGGGTAAAGTGAGATTGAATTATATTCAAATAATTATTTTAATAATTTATTACTAAATAATCAAAAATATTTTATTAATTGATTTATTGATTATTTTCTAATTTTTAAAAGTTTAACGATCAAAATGATAATTCAAACATAATTTAATAACCTTTGGTTATTATACCTTTGCCCCATTGCATATGGGAATATGATTTTGTTGTTGTTGTTGTTGGTTATTATACCTTTTTATAAAATTGGTCCTTTAAACGGGATATCTTCTTGTCCAAAAGTGGAGATTCATATGTAGTTTAAGGACCTATCATTTTATTTGTTTTAAGAAAAAATTGGTGGAGACTACTGAAATTTTTGAGAGAATTACAATTTACAAAGATATAATTATGCACACATAATCCTAGATATATACATACACGTGATTTTATATTATGGATAAATTTTAAAATAGAAATGAGCGAACATATAAAATTATAGGAGGGAATAAAATAATTTTCTAATAGAAAATGCATAAAATATTAATAATTTAAAATTTTTAAGGGGACAATTTCCCTTGTTCAAAAAAATTATAGCTGACTCTATTCCCATACGTAATGGGATAAGAGGAGGTAGAGTAGTAGGCTGCCCCCAACGCCAGGTTGAGAGCAGCTTCCGTGGAAGACCTCTGTTACGTTATGAATTGCTCTCAATGGGACTCGATCCCACAACCACAAGGTTAAGAGCCTTGCGTTCTACCACAATTTCTCATGTTCACCTCTCTCTATTCATTCTTGATTCTAAACATAATGTCAAGTTTGATGAGAAAAGAAAAGAAAAGGTCTTTGAAATACAACAAAATCTTATCGAATCATATTGAGGCTCCGTTGTCAAATTTTTAGTTTGGACTGCCCTACTTTTTGGATTTATGTAGTTAAAGCTAAGAAAATTCCTTGAAATTTTCCCATTGCAAATGAGAAACTATTAATGTTGAACATTAAATTTCAATGTGGAATGCCGATGTCTCTAAGCATACTCTTGCCTGTCACAAGTAGGGTTCATATGTTGGATATTTATTATGATTGAAAATAGTTTTAGTTAGTGTACACATAGATATAAATATTGATAGAATAATTTGAGGGACCTACTTTACATTTAAAGAGCATGCTTGAAAAAATATGTTTCATCTATTGATCGATTAACTTGGATTTAGTACTACAAAAGCTAATTATAGGGGTGGTTTTCTCAAACCAGTTTGCTTCATTCACAACGCTATGATTTGATCGTCTGACCTTGCTTAAGGATTTTTTTTTATAAATATGGGTTGAATACAATGTAGTGTGAACATACTTTTAACCCTTTGTCAATAAATGCTCATATCCCTACATATGTAATGCTCGAACCCTATACATCAAGAGATAATAACAAATCCCGTAACCATTGCGATCGTTGATTCGTACACCTTACTTTAATAATCTAATATTTCATCTCATTAGATAACTGATTGTTGGTTATTTTGGTTTTTAATTTGATTGATTAAATCCACCTATTATTGTTTTTAATTATTGTAAACCATAAATTAATACTAATTATAAATGTTATAAAATATGAAATATGAAAAATAATAAAATATATATTAAAAGAAAAAAAGATGGAAATGATTCTAGTAGAAAGGACCATTTTTTTCAACTCTAAATTAACCAATCGACCCTATCAACTTTGCTCATTTGATTATCTATATATCCATGCATGATAGGTGAATTAAATTCACATCAATTGGTTTTATTCTTAAAATTTTAAAATTGAAAAACTTAAGGGCATGTTTTATAAGTTATTGAAAATTTTGTTAATAGAAAATAATAATTTAGTGATTTAATATTTTAAATTTGTTTACTAACCTAAAATCAAAGTTATCCATTATAATTTCTCCATGAAAAAAGTGTGAAAATGCTAAGTACAAAAGGACCTTGCTCATCATTTTATGAAGAATATTTCAGTTTATTATCTATTTTAACTATATTATTTGTTAAAATTTATATTTATCAATCGGTCTAATTATATTTAATCTTTTTTTTATAATTAGGATAAGTAAAAGGCAGTATATGTCTAAAGATAACACTCAACCATTGATATTGAACACTCACAGTCATGACATCCGTGGTGTTCAAATCTAAGACCTAAAAATAACAATAATTCTTTACCACCGAGATCGTTGGTTGTGCTAATTATATTAATCTTTAATTCTAAACAAAATATCAATATTATAATTTTCATTTATATTCAAATATTCATTCCTACTTAACCTTTTATTTTAAAAAAAAAATCCAACAATCTTACTAATGTTAAACATGCTTAAATACAACGATCAACGTAAAATTTTATGTTAATGATAACTTATAAAATTTATAATAGAGCAAACTTATAAAATTTTAGGGAGTAAAAATAAATTATCAATAAAAAATATACTTAAATTAAAAAAAAGTATATGGAGTGATTGTTCCCAACGTTCTCCTCTACTATCATGTAAATATTATAACCTTCAATATCGGTTCTCAAATATACTTCATCTATAGGGCTACTTATCGATATACTACATGTTTTCCCTTTATTAATTTAATTTATTTTTGTAATTATTCTAAAGATCACCAACCCTTTTGAATGTACAAAACAATAAATAGTAGATTCTAGTTGAGTTGATATAGGATAGAAGCTCCTTCCTCCTTTCAAAAAAGCACCCTAATATTCCAATCGAGTATCAAACTTGCAACATTTTCTTTAAGAGTCAAAAAAGAAAACCTAAGCTAATTCTCTTAGGCGAAAATAAATCGCGTGCTTTTAATCCTCTATCAAAATAGTACATACTCCAGAGTTTATGTTAAGGGACGAACTTCTAAAATTTTAGGAGGGGACAAACTTATAAAATTCTATGAGTATGAAAATATATTATCAATAGAAAAAAATATAAAATATATAATAATTTGAAAATTTTAAGGATGACGAATAATTCTAATCACGATTCATCCCAGGTCAAAATAGTATTAAATATGTGTAATGCATGAAATAAATTCAAAATATCAGTCTTTCCCCATTTTAGACTACCCACCGAAATTGTGAAGGAAAAATCCATCTTCACACTACTTTGTTTCATCTTCTTAGTTTCACCAAAACCACCGTTGTTGAGACCTTAAGCTTTAGAGAGAAATCTCAAATTCCCTCCAAAATTCTTAGTTCATGTAAATTCTAATTAGAGATTTAGAAAGCACTTGACCTACTCCTCATATTAGTGTATTTTGATTTGGATTCTAAGCTAGATAATAGAACCCTAACCCTATCAAGTGTTATTGGTTCTGAAAGAAATTAATTCACGAGCTAATGCACTCTCAAATAGAGTGAAATCCACAGTGTTGGCCGTAGGTCGCCATGCCTTCCGGGCGACCTTGTAGGTCGCCATGAACTCCGGGCGACCTTGTAGGCCCAACACATAGCTCGCTCGGTTGCCCTCGGATTCCCTCGCATAGCTCGCTCGGCTGCCCTCGCATAGCTCGTTCGGATGGCCTCAGATGCTCTCGGATGGCCTCTGATGGCACATGCTATCTCTTGTAGCTCGCGGGGAAGACATGGCGACCTAGTAGGTCGCCCGGAAGGCATGGCGACCTAGTAGTAGGGATGGCAATGGGTCGGGTCGGGTCGGGTTTTTGGGCCACCCGACCCGACCCGAGAAGAAAGGGTTTTTCACCCGTGACCCGACCCGACCCGACGAAATTAAGGTTTCACCCGACCCGAATATATGACTTAGAAACCCGACCCGACCCGACCCGAAATAATAATAAAAAAATTTTATTCAATGAAAACAGTGACTTAATTGAAAAAAATTATATATGGAGGGATATTATTGTAATTATCCCTAAATATATAGGATAAAATTATATATATTTTTCGGGTCGGGTCGGGTCGGATTTTTTTCACCCTAAACCCGACCCGAACCCGAATTTTTTATAAAAATGAAAACTTGACTTAATTGAAAAAAATTATATATGGAGGGATATTATTGTAATTATCCCTAAATATATAGGATAAAATTATATATATTTTCGGGTCGGGTCGGGTCGGATTTTTTTCACCCTAAACCCGACCCGAACCCGAATTTTTTATAAAAAATCCGACCCGATCGGGTCGGGTCGGGTCGGAACCCGTCGGATTCGGGTTGAGTTGCCATCCCTACCTAGTAGCCAATACTGTGGATTTCACCTTATTTGAGCAATTAATCTTGGGAGTGCTTTATCTCGTTAATTAATTTTTTCCAGAACATTATCTCGAAAGTTTTGCCAGTGTTATTGCATGTTTAAATCATAAGTTTAGTATGTGTCTAAAAAAGGGTAAATTACAAATTTACTTAATTGAATAATATTCTCTCTCATATTTTAGTCACTATACTTTCAATTTTTTAATTTACTCACTGATTTTGAACTTTAGGATTGCTCATGTTTTTGAAAAACTTCATGAAAATAAATTTTCCTTTGGAACTTTTACATGCGGATGTATGTGTATTCTAGGGTGGACACATTTATCTTGAAATATGAATATATTTATTTATTTGTTTATTTTATTAGTAACATTTATCCTGAAATTTTATTTACGCATGCCCAATATGAAAAGTTTCTATTATTAACACATGTACTCACCCTACCCTGAAAATATTTCAAGGATTTTGGCTCCACTTTTACGGCTGATTTCACACTCCCTTCAACCTAGAAACATTTCAAGTCTTGTTTACTTGCACAGAAACTAACTGTATAAAAAGGGCACTCAACTTTTTAAGCTTATCTTGTGCTTTTGGATTCATGTGTTGTTTGTCCCGTGAAAACAGAAGGGGAAAACAGTATATTTCAACTCTTGTCAAGAAGCTCAAGAATCCTCCCATTTTTAGCAAAGGGATATGGAAAATTGTTTCATCTCAAAGATGTTCTCAGCAAGATGATGAAGAGGAGACGAAGCTCAACGTCGATGCCAGAAGCTAATGGTGGAGAAATTCGTGTTCGAGCAACAATTAAAAGCGCATTGAGCAGCACAGACAAGCGCAGCATGAAACTGCTTCATTTTCTGGTGTTTCTAGCAGTGACGATGAGTCCAACATAAGCTTGGTTTCAACACCGGATTCGGACTCATTGCCGGAATCGTCTCTTCCCCAAGAGGCCCTGAAACTAGCAGCTAATAGGCCACTTCCGGAGAAAGGGAAACTGCTGCTGGCTGTGAAGGATTGCCGGTCCCCTCCTGCAGAACCTTCTTTGGCAGGACCGCTTCCTCAATGGCAGCATCCGCCGCCTCAGCTTGCCTCCATCGAGATTCCACCGGTGTCTATTTCTTCCCCTAAACAGCAATTCGTAAAACAAGAGTCTTTCAACGATGTTAATGGTTGTTTAAGCAAGAAGAGGAGTCCAGAACTATGAAGATCACTTTGAATATTCTCTTCACTCCAAGTACCACAAGGTTGCTCTTCACTGAAGGTCAAATTCTGATTCTTGTCCCTCTACTATACTAATTTGACATAATTTGATTTCATTAGTTAATCCCAAATAGTTAAACACCATTAACTATCCGAGTTAAAACATAGACGAGAACTTTTTCTTAAAACACCCTCTCGAACACAGAAAAAACCATATCAACTGATAAGTTCGAAGTGTTGTTTTTAAGAAAATTTCACGTCAACATTTTAACCAGAATAGTTATGAGGTTAATTATTTTTGTTGGCTAATGGTGCTACAAAAGTAGAAAGATCAATGATGTTAAATTATACGGACTAAATCATAACTCAACTGTAACGGAAGCACTAAAACTATAGTTTGACCCTCCACCACACAATTACCAATTTCATACCTGAATTTTGAAGACTAGTCTCTGTCTTAGGAATCAAATGTCCTAACTACAAAACCACCAATGTACTTCAATGGAGGCTTAGAATGTTAGTTAATGTCTCTGTCTATGCATAACTTTCCCAATTATGTATATTACTGGAATTGGACAAGGAGTTCCAAAATTCCCAAATTGTGTATTGCAATTAAATTGAATGTTTTTACTTTGCTATGTCATTTTCTTTCTATATGCTTGTGCTTTGTTAATAGCCAGACACAAATGCAAGATTTATGTTAAGAAGATAAACTTATAAAATTTTAAGGAAAGAGAATTTTTTTAAAATTTTAAGCAGTCAAAATAGATTTTTAATATAAAATACAAATAAAATATCTAAAATATATAAGAATTTAAAATTTTTAAAAAAACCCATCCCCACTCGTGATAGCAAAGTTGGTTAATGATGAAAATATTCTGACCATAATAGTCGTAGATCTTCAATGATATTTCTTTTCCCTTACCATTAATGGCGAATATATGCCATTAAAAGCGCTACTATATATTGACTAAAGATTAGTGCATATGTATATTCCATGAATATATTAAACAGAGATTTCAGGATATATGATTTTTTCAATTATATTATTTTTAAAGTTTGAATTTATGTTTTTAAATATAATATATTTTATCACTATTTTAACACTTGTTAATTAATAAAAAAATATTATATACAAAATAATAACATATGGTTATCAGACATACAATTTAATAGTAATCAACTTTCAATGACTTTAATTTAATTTTAGGATTTAATTAAAAGAAAATGAAAGTATAGAGAAAAAAATGATTTGAAATAGTAAGTATAAGGAAGGAAATTATATTTCAAAACTTTAAAGAAAATAAAATTATAGGGTAAAAATAAAAAAGTTTAAAATCGCGCATTTAATTTTTAAATATTTCAGTTCATTTTTGGTTTGATTGTAGTTTTTGTTTGCCCGGCAGGATCAAACTAAAAAGAAAATTAAAATTAGAGGGATCAAACATAAAAATTATAATAAAATTATACATTGTAAATCCTTATATACAAATGAGATTTTTCCGACCCCCGAACATAAAATTATAATCTTTCAAAATTTATCCTATAATTATTAAAACATAATATAATGTAATTTCCTTAAACTCACTATTTCACTCAAGAGTAATTTTGAGATCGATACTTCCTTTTATCATTCCCTTCATTAGGCGACATAAGTATGAAAAAGTTAAACAGAGAAAGAATAGGTTGCGTCACATGGAGGGGTCAAGGTCTTGTTTACTTTAATACCAATGGGATGGACCGCTCCATCAACATCCGTAATCATGCAGCCCACATGCTGGTTTGCGCAACATTCACCGGTGAACGTCCCACGCGTTTTCCATTCACCACTCTCTACTTGCATTGAAACTGACTCATTCTAGACAGCAGCGGATGCGAGGTTTATCTTAAAATTTAATTTATTTATATTAATTATATATTTTTATTATAATATCTATTCTAAAATTTTATTTTTATTTACTTTATATAAAAATTCCTATTATTAATATATATATGTACTTAATCTAAAAGATATTTCTAGATTTATTACTTCTTCTGGACATGTTATTTGTTTTATCTTATTTACAGTCTGACTTCGGTTTGGAACATCTGATCTTACGTAGGGTTATGGGAAAAATTTAGTCATGAACTTTTTGATGGATGTTAGATATTTAAGATTTTTTTTAAATCGTTGTTTTTCAAGATATTAAGATTTTTTTTAAATCGTTGTTTCAATTCCGGATTTCTTGAGTGTCGAAAGTTGAAGAGTTTTTGAATCCTCTAGCGGTGAAATGATCACGTGCAATAGTCTTAAATATAGGTTTAAAAAATACGTTATCAGTTTTGTTATTATTTTTTTTAACAAAACCGATAAAAATTACATGAAACATATTATTCTACTGTTTATTATTATTTGACGCTTTACCGGGTTTGGTAAAACGCTACCGGTTTTGTTATTTTTTCTACCGATTTTGTTATTATTTACCATTTTACCGGAAACGTTAATAATATTAATGTTTTAGATAGAAATAATAATGTTTTCGGTATTTTTTACAGGTTTTGTTAAAAAATAATAACAAAATCAATAGAGACTTTCTTTAACCGTATATTAAGACTGTCTCACTATAGAACTCCCATGTAACGACTATAAGATACGAGAATGATAAGCAAGGACATTTGACGGGTACAACAAAATTGTGTCAATATTTTTAATATATTATATATAAAATCTAAAAAAGATTTCTCTATTTTTTTCCTATTGAAAGGGTTTGAATTCTTAAGCAAGGTTCATGACAATAAATGAATTTTCACGACAATGGTTAGTCTAATGTGATGAAGAACTAGATTTCTTAAGTAAGGTTAGGAGTTTGAATTCTAGCGTTTACGAATGGAGCAAATTGAGTTGTGAGGGTCGGCCTCACCTCTGCAATACTCGATATGGATTAATTGATCATTAGATTGAATGCCAATGATTAATTAAAATAAATAAATGAAATTTCCATATTTTCATAGGGTTTTAAATTTTTGATATTTTAATAATTTAAATATTCATTTTATCAATATAATTATATTGACGGTTTCTATCTAAAAAAATTAATATTTTCAATTTACTTAAATTATATATATATAATCTATGTGAATAAAATATGAATATGAAATTTAACGATCAAATTATTACAATACAATCTATAAAGTATATAAAACTCACTTAATTTTATATTATTAAGGATAAAACAATAATTAATTCACGATTTACATAACATTTCCTAAATGGATATCTATTTTTCTATGATAACGGAAGAACACTGAATGACAATAATAACAGCAAACATGCTAAGGCAGGCAAGGCCTTGGGCTTTCATTGAGTACAGCAGCCCCAAATTTTTTATTGAATCTGTATACCCAAATGGAAACTCAATGCATATAAACTAGAAACTAAATTGGAGCTGGGCTTATATACGATATTGCATATAGAATGCACACACATACCATAAATACAGATGTTCGAACTTAGAATTTCAGAAAAAATAATATTTCATTTAACTATTGAAACCACTAGATTACTTCGGCTTATATGATTTTATAGCTTATAATAAATTTCATACTAATAAATTATTTTATATTAATAATGTACAAATTGCTCATAATTTTGGGATTTGTTGATAAATACATATTCTTAGTTTTAGGGATCAGGTGTGAAGCCCTGATAACATGAAATAAGTAGATAAATTTATAAATTCAATTTAATGACTTTATGAAAATAATATTAATTTTATTGACTAGAACTTTAACTTACATATTATGAACAATACAATACATTTATAATCACAAAACTATCATTGTGTTTTTGCATCATCTAAATAACACAGAAAAAAGGGCAATTTTTATCGTTGTATAACTTCATAATCTTTAAGGGTAAAACTGAATTTTCATCATTTTGGGGACCAAAATATAATTTGACATTACATTAATTTAAAAATGTAATTTACATCACATTACCAAATATATTTTAAATCTTTGATTCCATGGATTTATATATTTCATAAGAAATATGGCATTTTGATAATTTTATAGTTAAAAGCTAAAAGTTAATTTTTTTAGATTTAAAAGTATTTTATTCTAAAAGTTATTTTAGGTTAATTATTCGGTACACTATAATTTTTATAATATCACTAAGGGGTTGTTTGTTTGCCTCTTAATAGAACCATTCAGCACTGAATGTTGAACCGTTCAGCATTCAACACGTTTGTTTCGCACTTCTGAATGATTCAGTGCTGACTGATTTAACAAAATAGTGTTGAATGATTCAGCACAGAAGTACATTCTTAATGATTCAGAGCCATTATCAAATAGCATGTCACATTCAGAGCTAATTCATACATAACATCTGAATCATTCAACATTTGAATCATTCAGCGCTTAATCATTCTGAAGTAAACAAACAGCCCCTAAGACGATGATAAATGTTCTTACACTGTATTTAAATATTAGGTAAAGTACACAAATGCCCCCAACTTTATGGTGCTACTTTATTGAGTCCTCCGACTATTAAAAGTTACAAAACGATTCCTTGATGAGTCCTCGACTATTAAGAGATACAAAATGGTCTTCCGACTATTTATATATTCCAAACTCATCATTTTTCGTTAAAAATTAGTGACTATCTGAGTGGACATTAACCTATTGACAAAGATATGATAAAATCTTATCCTAGAACCGTTTGAGTTGTATTTTATGGATCGACTCTCCGTTTACATTATGTCGTCAAACCAATGCTTGAACCATTATTTCATCAAGTTAGTGCTTGAAAGTAACAATGGTGTCAGTAAATAACATTAAAATATGATTTAATCATATCTCAGTCAACAAGTTAACGTCTAGCTCATACGAATGTCAATTTTTAACGGAAAAGGACGATTTTGAAACATATGAATACTTAGGTGATCATTTTGTAACTTTTAATAGTCGAGAGACTCAACAAAACATCACCACATAGTCAGGAGATCATTTTGTAACTTTTAATAATCTAGGAAATTAACAAAGTAATACCTTATAGTCGGGGACCATTTTTATACTTTACCCTTAAAAATATTAAAAGTAAATAAAGAAATCATTTGATTCAGTGCTTATGAAATTAACTTTTATCAATATGCATTAATTACTCTATTATTTTTAATTTAGTTAAGTTGTAGGGCATGGCATGACCATGAAGAAAAGAGATAATGGATGGATAAAGGAAGGCAAGTTCTTGGGCATGAAGATATTATTAATGAAGGATTCATTGTGTGCGGCACGTAAGACTTATAATTAACTCATCATCCAAAATCAAAAGAATATTGGGCAATGTTCCCAAATTTTTATGCGAAAAAAATGAATTTTAAGGATTTATAAATTTTTCTTTTATTAGTACGATATTTTGATATATAATTTATATTGAAAAAATAATAATATATTTAAATTAATATATATAATTTTTTTAAATAACCTCTCAAAAATAATATTGAGTTTTGTCACTATCATTCCTTTTCGACTCATCTATGCATGTATGAATGAATGAAGTGTGAC